CGGCGGCGAGTAGATGAAATAAGGGCAGGTTGGAGAAATAGGAGCAATCGTATCCAAATAAGGAAAAGCGAAATGAAAAGAGACATAAAGTCTGGAGATCATAAGATAGAGCGGAAGAACAGCAGAAAACAGCAGAAGTAAGAAGTATAAAGAATTTAACTTACATAGCCTTGCTTGTCTGATATGTTGTTGGTCAATTTCAATTTGTGAAAGTTTGCTCCTTTTGCCATCCAATGTTCGCCAGTAGCAGGCGAATCAGGGTGAATATACATCCTTTTTGGCATTTCAGGATCCGCTTTACCAGCCACCATCCATCTGAACTTTGAGTCTTAGAAACGAGAAAGAGGGCCACAGAAAGCACTAATCAACACCAGAGCTGTCATAGATAACGCCTAAAATTCCAATAAAATGCCCCAACTGACAAAAGATAGGCAGCCTAACAAGCGTCGACAAATTAATGGAGTGTCATAAAAGGTGCTATTACTATCAAACAGAGATAAATTAGCGACGGCCAACATCAGCAAACACTTTACGTGGCGGAATAGAATAGAGACGACATTTTAGCAACAACGTACCGGCTGTTGTTGAACTTGTAGCGACACTCATCAGCTGGAACTAGGTCCATTAGAAATATGTACTTGCTCTTCTTATCCAGACCACTGACTTTCACTCGAAAAGCGGGAAATATCCGTCTAAAAGAAGCAAAAATGAGGCGATGAAGAGGAAGATATGGGCAGTATGATATAAGCAACTACCTCCCACTTTTGGTTATCACCATCTCAGTACCACAGGAATTGAATGAATTCCACAGTTCCTTGTCATCAAGTTCTACCTGCGGATCATCTTGTACTCCGTCATCGTCGACACGACCACCACGCATCTCAGTCAGGTCAGGTGGAAGACGAGGGAAGAAGCCGGGAGCCCCCGGCAATGTGGGTATGTGGCCCATAAAGGGCAAAAGGGCCAGATCGGGACGGCTCAGGAACGGGTTGAACGCCATGCTCGCATCTCACACGCGCAACTGCCGAAATTGACACCTCAACTTGCGGCCACGCCCCGCTTTCGATGATTGGTAGCAGGCGTGCAGGGGGCGGTGCCCCAGCGAGGGTCGCACGCTGGACCGTCGCCGCCACGGCTACGGTAGCCACAGCCTCTCCCCTATCAATGACCGCGACCAGCCTACCTGCCACCGCTTTCT